GTGACGTCGTCTCCAGGCGTTAGACGTAACGTCGCCACGTCTCAGGCCCTCGGAACGGTCTTCTGTTGTCAGCGACTATTCTTCACCCCTTAAAGGAGAGGGAAACGCATACGTTTAGGGGAATCTTAGGAGATGAACCGTTTACGGAGGAACCTCTCCGAGGAACCTTCTTGAGAAGACCTCTCTGAATTTCGTGATTTAAGTATCTTGTAACTTAGGTGTGAAATTCGAACCTTTTTGCGGGCTTCCCTCAGAGAAAGAGGAGAGCGATCGGAGCATTTGCGTTTGAAAAGCGTCCGTTTCCCTGAGGAGATAAGGAGTCACTTGAGCTTTCGAACACGCGCACCTCCACCTCCCTAATCGTAGGTCTTTCATCGTATTGAAGAAGGAGTGACAGCATCGCCGCCGTGAAAAGCGAAGACGTATTATTTGATCTTTTAGAAAAAGACGGCGCTCGACCCTCTTTATCAGGTACGGATCGGGCACGACAGAACCGGTGTAACTTGCGGAGCGTTTCGGACCGCGTTAGCGTTCCGCAAAAGCATCGTACCCGAGCCGGAAAAGGAAAGTCGTTTGTTTGCGCCGTACTCGGGGCCACTTTAAAAGCAGCCGCGGAGTTCCGAGACGCGAAGCATTCGGCACAAACCCAAACTATACAAGCACCGCAGGAATCAGTTCGTTACACAAGAATCGGTCAAAACTCTGCAGGATCAAATAGCGAACCCCGAGGAACGATTAGAAAGAGAGAAACGCAATTCGGCTTTGTCGCAAATGGCTTTTAAGGACCTGTTAACGTGTAAGCTCGCCAGCGAGGCACGACGGAAAGCTGCAGCCGCACCACGAATCACCTACGACGACGCCTGTCGATCCCGAGAGAACGACCGCTTTAATTAGGGGGCTTCCAGCGTCGTTAAAACCTATAGGCATACATCAGAAAGCTGAGAACAAAGGGAAACAAGATCGTCGATTTAACACCTTCCGTCCAAAGGCCTCACCACTGTGGCCGGTTATCCCCGCGAGTCACGATCCAACGGCCGATAAGCCAGGGAAACACTCTTACCTCCCCGGCCAGACCGCGTGGATCGACTCAGCTAACCCGAGGCCCGTTTCCCTAACTTTATTAGGATCCCTTCACAATTATCCTTGGAAGGCTACAGGCACACCCGAAAAGGGAATAGGAAATCAACACTTGCTGGACCGTTTCCTCATTTTTTAACCCTATTAACAAAGCCCATAAAGGGCAAGTCGGCGTCTCGTTTCGTTTCACAGAAGATCCCCGCGGGACCTTGACAGAACACAAAAAGGCTGATAGCTGATTTTGACCATTTGTGTCTGGTGACAGAAATACTGAAGATTTGATCACGCTAGAATATCGAACGCACCTCTTGATTACATTTTGGTCGCCATAGCGTTACGTTTTGCATCGTCGTGGGCGCGGGCGGTGAGCGATATCAGTCCTCGGATCCGTTCACCTTCACAACCGGGTTCGGGGTTTTTACAGGTCATCCTGGCTTACCGGCATTCCCCGCACCGTGATACCATTTCTTTTGACCCCTCCTTTCAGCCCTTTTTACCAAACCGAGTACAATTCGCCTGTCACTCCTCCACAGCGTTTCCAAATTCCTAACCAACCGGAAAATGAACTAAGGGACCCATCCAATATCTGTTAGATGCGGTCCCAAAAGAAATCCATCAGAAAGCCTTTTGCACTGATGCTTTTCAGCATCACACCGGTTCAGGAGTTCCATCCAAAACCCGGTTGTTGCAAAGCGTCTAAGTTTTAATAAGAGATTAAAGCATAAGCGTACGTTTCTGGGATTACCCCTCTTCGTACTGCGGGGGATATCCTGCACACACCGTCCTGTGCAAAGTCCTCTGGACTGTAACTATACTTGAACTTGCCAAACTAATATTTATATCTCTCAGCATTTGAATCGCTTTGGAAATGCTCAAGCAGAAAGTTCTCGAGACACTAAATCATCTTGGAAAACATTACACGGCAAGTCCACATCTTGTCCAATTGGACTAGATACACTTTCAGTGCATTAACTGAAGTGTAATCTTGAACAGCTATTCGTGAACACCACAGCCTCTACGGAAGAATTCCCATCCTGATCCTGGGAGTTCCCGGGCGGGGAAAGCAGCTGACAGGAATACCTCTGCTTGTTTTACTTATTTATTTATTATTATTGGTTATTGGTAAAGGTACGCTCATGGCCAAACGTACGGTTGTCTCTTTTCACCTTCTACCTTTTATTCATCAGGTAACATTCGTGTCACCACTCCTGAGGTACCTCCGACTGGCGTCTGTGGCAAATTGAATCGTTCTAATCGTTGTCTAAAGACGGATGATAGCGGTACAGTTGTTAAACACATTGCCCAGGGTATACGGAAAACGGCCCGTGTTCCCGTCCAAACCTGGAAAAGCCCAGACTTCGATTTCTTTTCCCGGCTTCCAGGCGGTCCACGGGTCAAACGTATCCTGTTTTACCTACTGTACATTGCCGCAACTCTTACGTTTGTACCTTGTACGATTCCACATTTTATTCAACTTATTCCACGTGTTGCATCCTTCATGTGCTTTGTAACCACTTCAGCTGATGACGGACAAGTCCACCAGATCAGGGCAACATTTGTAACCAAGCCTAAGAAATCTTTCCTAGTAATTGCGTAAGGTTTATCTTCCCCTTGTCCCCCCTCCTCTTTTCCTCCCGCTCGTTTGTTATCTTTATTTTCTCCCTTTTTCCTATCACAATGGAAGGTCATTTAACGCTTCATTTCCAGCAATCTTTGAGGTGGCGTGAGCCTCCTTTGTTTTTTGGCTCAAAGCTCGCTTCCTGACGTTTTATTGTCACAAGACTCTGATTGATTTGTCGAGGAGGCAAGAGATGGGCGCTAGCCACGTGACTATCGATGTCGCTTTGAGAACACTGGAAAGCCCCTTCCTGCAGAGCTGCTCGCTCTGTCGAAGAGGGGAAAAGAGCGCTCAGGAGCGTTCACCGGCGGAAGATCTGGCCCGTGACTCAACAGCTCCAGCTCGGTACGGGAGGCTGGGGGATGACGCCATCGTATCCCGCGAAGGCAAGATGCAAGTCGGTGCCTCCCTGCTCCCTCTTATCCTGAGGCAAGGCCAGGAAGATAAGAACAAAGGAATTTCCCGCTGAGGTCCCAGAGCCAGAAGCCGCCGCTCCAAGGAGAGCTGACTCAAGCACCTTGGTTTTGAGCCATCACTCAAAAGAGAACTGACTCGACCACTTTGAAACTGTTGAAAAGGGGCCATCATCGCCTCGGTCGTTATCGTCGCGGTTGTCTCAATAGAACAACTCTGCCTGATGACCCAGCACTACTGAAGACCAAAGACTGAACTAACTACCAACCTCTCCGGATCCCTGGTGGCGACTATCTCCCTCTTGCTTTCCATAAAGACTCCTCGCTGCTTCTTTTCTGTCTTTTCTATCAGCCTCCTTCCCTTCCCCAGTACCTTAATTCATAATAGCACCCGTCCTCCCCTTCCCCATTTCCCTGATTAAGATTTGTAATAAACCGGTCGGACCAACATCAGAACCGTTGTTTCTTAATCTCTCGCCGGGTATATAGATAATAAAAGAACCTCCTCTCCCTGCCCTAAATCGGAGCGAGACAAAGGAAAACGGTTTCTAGCCGTGAAGGAATTCAGTGACACCTTTTTGCTTCCCGGGCACTTCCGTATCAGGTGCCATTGTGTCAGACCGCCGCTCCGTGCCATCCGTCACAGGGCAGCAAAGTGCCATGGAATACCGGCGGGGAGGTTCAGACCCTTCTGCCGTACTGCCAACATCCACCTCCGAGGCCACAGGCCGACTTCTCGAGCAGCCCTTGCATGTTGCTATTGCCTAGTCGTGCCACAGTAACTTTGGACAAAGCGCTAGCTGAGCTCAGCGTTGCGTCGGACACCGTGTATACACGTACATATTAGTGCACATCTTTACGCACGTATTAATTAAGCTTTAGCTATCTTTTTCTCTGTAAGAGCACGCTACTAAGGCCTGTCTTTTCATCGTGACCTCTCGACTTGTAGCAGCCACTGCAATCTTTCATTACCGCACAAGCCACCCACAGACAATGAATGCCAGCAGTACCACGGCTCCCGTGCATACAGGGAGCCGAAAACACCAAACGCGGTGAACAGCAGAATCAGACTTTATTTTACACTTTCCATTTCCATTTTAACAACGCTTCGCGATCTCTCGCGACCCATAAACCGACATTCTGTAAAATAACGCTTTCGTAGGAATGATCTCAGCGCGAGTTTCCTTTTGTTATGCTTTGAAAGCGCATTTTCGCTTCACGTTGTAGCAGAAATGCTGAGTCAGGGCTCGACGCAGCAATCAAGCACTTGGTGGGAAGGCAGGGCCAACCTAGGGGAGCTCAGGCGCATTGAATGTCGCTGAGCGACCAGAAGGGGCAGAGCCAGGACCTACCCCTTCCCAGACCTCATTTGAGGGTCGGCAGCGGAAGTGAGGGCACTTTGCTGGAGATCTTTGCCCACCAGGGGCTTTCTGCGGGTAAGCAGCGTTTGTTTGTTTGTTTGTTTGTTTGTTTGTGCACCTGTGGCAGCCGCCATTACTTTCTCCTTCTTTTCTGCTAGCTTTAACCCAGCAGGTCACCACTGTGTCTTGTGTTGGCTTCCAGCCTCCCGAGCTGGGTTTGTACTGCCGGGGGCTGGAGAACTCTCGTGCTCTCAGAAAGGCATCCTTAAGGAGTTCTTTATGCGTGTACACGTGTATTGTACATTCTTGTCTTTTTCTGCACGTGGTCCTTACTGTAAGCATCTTTACATTGTAAGCACTACGATTGGCAGGACTGTAAGGGAACCGTCCAGTCAGGGCCCGAACCGCTGATTGAGCACCTGGAAGGGGGGCGGAGCGGGGCGGGGGAGGGAGCACAGGTGAAAGCGATTCAGCCGCGGGAAGGGAAGGACCGCAGCCGGGCTCCACCCGTCTTAAGCCTCATTTAAGGGCCGACCGCCACCAAGGAACGTCCTCTTCCAGGAGTTCCCTTTTCGGTGAAGTTCTGGTACGAGCCTACATCTTTGGAGATGGGTGAGCTTCTTCTTCTTTTTTTTTTTTTTTTTGTGACGTCGTCTCTTTGCACCGGGAGCGGTGCAGAGAGGAAGACGAAATCCGAAACCTTGCCCTTCCCTTACTTTTTCTCCTCGTTCCACTGTCCTTGTTGCACTGGGTACTTAGAAGCCCAGGCACTGCTGAGAAAGGCGAAATCAGGTAAGGAAGGTGATGAGACTTCCTATCGTCCTTACACGGTTTAGTTTTACTGTTATTATTTTCCAAGGAAAGATCCCCTTAGTTTGGCCCGCAGGGAGCAGGCTCGGGCGGAGGAAGGTATCTTTTCATTTGGTAATTGGAGTTGAAGGAGAAAGGTGCCAAATAGGGCCGTTACCACTTGTAAGCGTAGAAACCAGAGAGGATTAGAGCTTCCTCAAGCGCTCCGGGATAGGTGCTCTACGTAAACAGTGACAGAACAAAGGCTGAACTACTGAAACTATTCACAGTCGAGTGCCACTCTTTGTTGACAAGCGTACAGGAATTAAGGCTCGAGGATTTTGTTTCCCATTTGTTACAAAAAATTTAAAATTGAAAAAAAGAAAACAGCTTCTCATTTTCTTTTCACGGATGGAGGAATACTCCCACACGCACACACACAGCCGGGCCCCTGTGAAAAGCGAGGCTAAGCAGAGTTTATTCTCGCAGCTGTAACGAAAAACATTACAAAGGGCGGTACGCAGGTCGGCAGCTCCGTTCCGAACGCGGGGAACTCATTACAGGCCACGAGAAGGACTTTTTGGCGGGTTAGGGCTCTATAGCCGCAAACCGCCTGTCTCGCTCAGCCACTCTGCATATGAATGGTAGGACACACGCTAACGCTACGAACTGTAAAATGACTGGGATAGCAGCCGTTAAACATATCCGACTTCGGGTGGGAGAGCGCCTTAACTCATAGCTCTGAATTCATTACCGCTTTAAGACAGATCTTATTTCATCGTTCTACTAGAGGGACACATCCATTCACTTGAACCGTCCAATGCCTCCCGATTCAGTAATTGCCACATCTTCTGTTTTGTAACCGTCCCTACAAGTTTATCGCCGCTCCGAGCCACCCCCCACTTGAGAGAGCGCCCCAGTTACAGCAGGGAGATGCGTTCCCTTGCGGTTTAGTTCCAAGCGTGCATTATGGCCTCGCGGAGGTAAGAAAAGGGCTCATCACGTAAGGGGGTATAGAAACCCCCAGCCCTTGTCAGGAAAGAGCCCTTTCTGCTTGTATCTCTTAAAACAACGGCACAGCCCCACACAAAAGAGGCTCAAAGCATTCGTCAGAGTAAAGGCAATCAGGAGAGGCCGGGAGAGGGGCGGGGGTCAGAGTCAAGGGTTTCTCGTCAGTCGCAGTCCTCTCGGGTATTTTTGTATGCAATCGCGACCCAGGAGTCAAATGCGTATTTATTACACTTGCCCCTTACAGCAAAGCAGGAGGAGCTGCTATCTGTTCAGCTCTTAAATGCCAGTGAAAACCTTGGATAAAATTTCTGTAGCACAGCCTTTCTCACTGAAGATAGAGTGTTTAAAAAAAAATAATAATAATGTCAGCAATGTTAGCAAACATTGTTTTTTATTTTGCATTATATAATTTGATCTGAAGCATAATGCAGAAAAAGGGGTCAAGATAATTTGTTTGTAAACATACAGCATGTTCAGAAGTAGAAAGACCCAGCAGCAGCAGGCCGTACAATCATCAACCATACAAGGTCGGGCAGAAGCAAGCACCCGGGTTCAGCCCACCCGAGCTACAGCCACAGACGAGGCCAGGGAGCCACTCCCACCAAAAGGAACCCAGGGGCCGCAGTCGGCAGCAAGTTAAACTAGACCCAGCAGCACATAGCAGCAGTCGAGGAGGGCCGCCCCAGCATGACGTTAGGGCACAGGAGGTTCAGACAGGAGCTAAGGAAAAACTCGTCAGAAAGCAGGCGCGCTTCACCAGGAGCAGCAAAAGCCCAGGGCCGCCAGAGCGCAGTAAGCTCTGGAACATCACCATCAGGCAGGGAAGCCAAAGCCCGGGCAGCAGCAGGACGAGCAAGGAGGCAGGGTTCCCTTCAGCCACAGCAGGCTGTTTTCTCATTCTGTAAAGAGAAAGAGACATTGCAGTGAGCGAGCGTATTAGTTTCTTCACAAACTTTTCCTCTCAGCTCAGCAACATACATTTTCAGCTCCCACCCCGGTGAAAACAAGGGTGAAAACAATTCCATTTACAGCCAGGAACAACCCATCCAGCACCTGCCCACATCACCTTCAACAGGTGAGCAAAATAACCTCCTAACTCATTGAAATTCTGTTGAGGTCAAGCCCTTAGGCACTCACTGTCATATCCTGCTCATTGAACCGCCTTTGCAATCCTGAAGTCTCTACCAGCTGCACTTATAATTCTGCTGCTACTTACCTTGAACTAACTACTTGCAAAGTCAATTATGGGCAGGCTCTCACACAACCATACGCTGTACTACACACGGGCACTTAACGCAGAGGCAGAACCCCCACACAGTTCCATTTCTTTTGTTCAAGAGCTCCATACCGAGCACCAAGTATTTTTGCTAGGGGCATTATTAGAGTTCGGGCTCAGTTTGGGACAAGGGCCACAGGCACTAACTTAGAGACACAACACAAAGGGGTTTGCCATGAAGCACCACCTCAGGTTACCTAGCAAGAAACCAGAGAGGTCTCAGCGCACCCTCCTCGAAAAGGAGTTTTTCCTTTCACAAAGCAGTCACCCTCACTCCGCCCTCAGGACAGCACACCCTCCTCAGAGCTCAGGAAGCTCTATGAGATAGAAACATGCCTCAAATTCAGAGATAGGGCTTCAACAACACCAACACTAGAAACATACCACGTTCTCTCACTCAGCAAGTCAAGCACATCTGACTCATCTCTCTGCAGTACATACTGTGTAAAAATAATCGGTCATTGATTTAAGTCTCATTTATTTTTCATTTATTTATTTTACAGGGCACGCAACGCCAAATAACCGACAGTTTCAGCGTTCCAAGATCAATAACATCAGCAGCAACAAAACAAGGCCCGAGCGCAGAAACAGGCAGCGCATCTTAATTTTTTGGAGGTAAGCAAGGATTTCTTGTTGCTTTAAGTCAGAGACAGGCAGGCATCCACTTCACCACCACAAGTCAAGCTAGCCAAGCCTAGCCATTCCTCTTCAGCGCAGATATTCTTAGGCGTCCCCATTCCGGCACACAGCACAGAGCAGTCCCACCTGCAGTAGAAACAACCTTTCCAGAAAGCCTGCAGAAGCAGATCATTTTATTTGTTCACAGGAGGGACACATCACCACCCGCTTCCCACCTGGCCGACGCCAGCACAGTTCCCAGTACTCCAGGAGCACACAGGGATACTGTCACTCTTCTTTCTCTCACATTTCTCCTCTCTCTTGTCACCGCAGAGGTAGCAAAGCAATAGACTTCTCCTAGAGAGAAGCCTAGCTTTTCACTAGATACAGTTCAGATAACTAAGTCTTTAGGTCGCCTATCCAGCGACTCAGTCATTGCCATTTTACAGGGGGCATGCTCTTAGCTACCAAGTAACACTTGACCCAGGCAGAGAGAGTTTTCTACCTGTAGTTCTAGAGAAATTGGTGACTCAGCCTCATCACAGAGATCTCCCAAAAGGAGCTATGGAAAGCTTTCTTCTTCATTTGTTTTCCCATTAGACAGATGGCTTTCTCCCACTAGGAGATAGCAAAAACATCACAGAGCAGAAACAGTCCTCTTTCCTAACCATCTCAGCCTACTTAGCTCATCAATAAGGGAAACCATTCAGGGCCTACACAGGACATACACAGAGACACACACCGCAGGAGCACCGCACCTCCAGCTGCTTACCCAAACACTTTTTAGAGGTAAATCCCCCTCACCCCTCCACACACATTCAGTTACTACAGAGCAAGCATCTTCTGTCATCTCAGAGTTATAAACAGGTTTGACCCAAGTTTTGAAATAAAGCAAGTTTTCTCTTTCAGCAAAACTCCATCTCCCACCTTCAGGACCAGGAGCACCACCACAAATCAGCCACCACCACAAAGGAGCCACCCCAGGACCCAAGGAAGAGACCCCATTACCAGGGAGGCCTCTCCCCACCATCTCAGGAGGAGCCCCCACCACACACCAGGGGCTCCTCCACCTCCCCCCCACTCAGGAGGAGCCCCCACCACACACCAGGGGCTCCTCCACCTCCCCCCCCTCAGGGGGAGCCCCATCAGTCACCCGGGGCTCCCCCACCTCCCCCCCCCCTCAGGGGAGCCTCCACAAGAGGCTCCCCCATGCCCTGCCAGGGCCACCACGGTGGCCCCCGAACGAAAATTTTTCCGTTACTGACCGTTGCCCGCCCTCCCGCCCTAAAAAAATAATCTCTTTCGAGATAGTGCAAATCCTGGTCAACAGCCCCAGGCCAGAGGGGGGAAGAGCACAGGCCACACACTCAGACACTAAGTCCAAGCATGTGGCCTGTGCTCTTCCCCCCTTTTACCATGCTCACCAACTACCCACCACCAAGACAAGACACCCTCCACCAAAGAACCACCACCACAAACACCAAGTACTACCTGGCCCATCTCCTCTGCTTCCTCAGCAGCACACTTCTCAGCCAAGGACAAGGACCTTCCTCTCCAAACAAGCTGCACCTGAGGGAACAACAGAAAATATAGCACTGCTGCATCTCACCAAACACACCACCACCACCACAACAAAAAACCCAACAAAACAGCACCAAGACCCCAAGCTCCCTCACAAAACACATGCCTAAACCGTGCAGGTTACCCTCACTCATCACTCCTCTCCTCCAAGACCAGACTTGCCACACACCATCAACACCATCACAGCTCAAAGCCACATACACCACCACCCTCCAACGAAACGCAGTTGTGTACCCCGCCACCTGCTCACAGTGCACGCCAGTCAGAAACAAAAGAACACCGCTTACCTCGCTCCGGAGACTCTCGCCGGCGGGATGCCTGGGGCGCGAGGGGCCTGCGGCCCTCCGGACGCAGGACTCGCGGTTCCTTCGTCTCGCCGCCGGTGAAACCGCTCCCGGACTCGGGCGCCTCATCCGGTGCCTCTGCGTTCCCGGAGAAGGGGACTCCGCGACCCCGGCGCCGCTCTCACCGAAAAAGCCTTCTCGCTTCTCATCTTGAGGGTGTCGATGCCGCTCCTGCGCTTCGCGTACTGACTGACAGTACTGATGAACTCCCCGCAACATCCGCTGCCCTTCTCTCCTCTCGCCCATCCCGACGACGCGCGAAGCTACCGGCTTGGTCCGGCCTCGTCTCCCCTCGCCAAATCCGCTGCGACTCCTCCGGAAAAAGGTCTTTCAAGTCGCTGGCAGCTGTCACCTTGCTGAGGAGGAAAGCGGGGCTCCGTGCTGTCCAGTTCTCTGAGCCGAAGACAAACTCCACCGCCTCTCTGCCTCTCCTGTAAGGAACGCGCAAACATCCACAACGGCATTCCAGCCGTGCGACCTGTCCCACCGCAACTCCGGGATGGGAACGAGATCGCGCTCCTCGAGATGCCCGTGGCAGGCAGGAGGGAGGGGAAGGAAACGCGTGCGGTCTCCTCGTGCCCTTCTAAAAAGGCCGCGTGGGACCCCAGCGGCGGCGCCGTGCCGATCCCGGAGAACCGGCAGGGGCGGCCCTACGCGAGCCCCAAGAAGACAGATCTCACCTAGTGACTCCCGGACCGCTCACCGCTTCCACCGTCTCACCGGTTCGGGATGACGAGAGCCTCCGCTGCAGCCTTCGCTCAGCCTGCAAAACGAGAAGCCTCGTCTCGGCAGCACCGAGGCCGGAAGAATACGGCCCCATCCCGCTCGCTCCTACTCACCGGGCAGGGGGCGACTGAAGCTCCCGCTAAAAAGCCCCGGAGGGACGAAAGCGCGCTGGGGCTCGGAGAACCGAGCGGCAGCCCCTCCGAAAACGCGACGGCGGCCGGGCGGCGATGTTTGCCCGGCTCCGCGAAGCCGGAGAAGCCCGGCGGGAGCCCCGCGCCGGCCCCCGAACGGAGCGCGGCGAGAGCCGGGCGGCCTCCTGCCGCGGGAGGCGGGCCGAAACGGCTCCCGAGCGCCGGCTGCCTCCGCGGTCTCGTCGCTACCGGAACGGCTCGCCGGCTCCGGCTGATCCTCGCCGGGAACATCTCGCCGCAACCTGAAACGAAACAACGCGACAGAAAAAGTCACGCAGAATCCCGAGGTTCTGCCCGAAAAGCAGCCCGGCGCGAGGACAGGACGGAGGAACGGAACCCCTACCGGCTCTCTCGTGGCTCCCGGCGGCTCTGTCGTGGCTCCCTGTGGCCTCGGGAGGAGCTTAAGAGGCTTTGGGGAGGACCCGCCCCGCCTGCGGACGAGGCGCAGCTGTGCCCGCGGTCTCGCGGCAGCTGGGACTCGTTGCCTCGTTAGCGCCGGCGGAGCTCGTTAGGGCCGGCCGGGGAATCTGACAGCTGGGCACGTGGGCTCCCGATCGGAAAGAGGGACTTAAGCCGCGCTTTCCACGGCGGTTTGTTATGCGCTTCTCCTCCCCCCGTGGCGGGGTTCGCTAACGAGTCCGATCAGCGCGCCTCGTTCCAACGGGTCGCTTCGCGTCTCGCGCGACGCCGTTCCGAAGAAAGCCCCCGGCCTTAACGGGTTCCGAAGGCCCCCGCGGCGTGCTGTCTCCGCTCCGCTGTCCCTCTCCCCTCGTCCGAATCAATAAGTACAGGAATAAATAAAAAGATCGCGAACCGTGTCAAAACTTCGTACCTGGCGTAGTGGCGATGTGACAAACTCGCGAACGGACCGCTGCAATCAGAAGTGGAGCCGATCGGTATTGACGCGTAACGGCAGTGGGAGCTGCTGCCGTGAATACTTCACGGGATACTTTGGCAAGCGCTTAATAGCGTTTAGCTGTAAAAAGGAAGTCATTAAATCTCTCCTCTGCTATTTAGACGTGACGAATCCTTTAGCGCGCTCAAGGAAGTCGGATTGTCCTGCAAAGAAATAAATACGAAGGGTTCAGCTGCATAACGACCGCGTTTTTCAATGCGAACCGGGACAGCTTGGCTTTCCTTCTTCGGAAGCCGTGCTTTTCCCTGCCGACAGCAGGCAAAAGGACGTTGAGTGGCATTTAGCTTCCTTTTAGCGCGAACAGAAACGGTTGTGAAAACAAACCCGACCAAATATTCAGCCGTAAGAGGGGACGGTCTTTACGTCGTGCGTTCGTTTGGCTCTAGTGGCTGACCGGTGTGACATTCGCTGGAGGCGAAGTGTGAACTATGATTTTGGCTGTGCTGCAGTCCTGGGGAAAAGCTGCTTGAGAACTCTGCATTTCACGAGGAAAGCGGTTCCTGTTTCAGCTTGAATTCTGCCTGTTCTTCAGTAGGGCAGCATCTTCCTTCTTAAGTGGCACTGGATCAGCAGCCTTGCGCAGTGCTTTGCTGCTTAAGGTGCTGTCCTTCGGAAGACAGACAGAAAGTGAGGCCTCTTTTCTTTCTGATTTTGATGGCTCTCGAGGCATTTGTTCCCCCTAAATTTTGCTTGGTGCCATCTTAATTTCATACGGTGTTCTCCTTCTCTTCCTTCCTGCCCTGAGTTGTTGTGTGACATGGCTAAGCGCTATTAAATGACCAGCGGGTTGCCTCCGAGACGGCTGCGTTCCAGAGGCGAGTCAGGTAAAGCCTGCGAATACAGAGTGTGAGCCGTTCTGAGGGATAGAAACGCAAGGTCGCTGGTGCCGATATTCACCCGGACAAACTCCAGCTTCTCTGCTCCCCTCCGGTAGTTTGCTTTCATTTGTAATTTCATTACCCAGGTGAAAACAGGCAGCTGAAGGGAACGCCGTCCCCCCTCGAGAGAACGCCAGTCTCACGCTGGAGGGACATTTCTGGGCAGGCTGGTGGCTTTTATCCTTTGCCTGAGAACCTGAGCTGCCGCGAGCAGCCTTCCTCCACAACAACGTGAGCGGATGAGCTGCACTGCCGGCCGGTCGGTCGGCCGGTCGGTCTGCCCTACTGGGGCAACTGCACGAGCCTCAGCAAAGTTT